TGATTGGCGGCGCGTAGTTGGGACTGTCGGCTGTGGAAAAATAGTCCACCAGTTGGCCAGCAATCGGTGGCCACGCTATCATTGGTATCATTAAAGCCCAGAGTTTAGAAAATCCTCCGTAAATGGCATCGAAATCATTAGTCATCGCAACCGATAGCGCATCCAATAGAGTATATGTCGTAAAGAGCGAAAAGTCGGCCACAGATCTGATCAGTAAATATGTATAAAATGTTTGCTTTGGATCTCCAGTTTCAATAAGACAGGGGGCCGGAGGCCTAAGGGGTACATCTTTATCGCGCGATGACTTTCGTCTGTGTCTCAGATTTATGTGACAATAGATATTACAGTTGTGGACAAATGGTCGGCACTGGACGTTGTCATAGAGTTTTTGGTTTACGAGTAACGGTGGTGCCGGTTGATAAGTGCAGGTGGGTAGACCACTAAACACCCTTTCCACTATATCATCCTTGGAGCCTTCAATGACTGGCCACCTGTCAAATCTTGAATCAAATTGAATTAATTCATTTGGTGATTGGCCGTCGCTATCGGGTTCACCATCCGGCCTATCAGTACGTCTTGAGGCCTGGATATCACTATTGACACCATCCCTGTTATGAACTAAAATTTGGAAATGTATTAATTAATACAAGTTTTGTATGGTAGCAAACACAAGCACTAGCACCAAGACATACCTAAACACATATTTCCCTCATCATTAGTACTTCTGAAGCAGACATGGATGGGATACCACGAGGCGTTATAAGTGCCGCTGTATGGACACTCATAGGCACAACTGGTGAGTTGGAAATTAGAGAAGTTGGTGGCAGGTCTCTTAGCAAAAGTGTGACACTGGCCCTCCCAATTGGGACACTGCTCTATACGTAGTATACTTTGCGAGCAATCAAAGTATATCTTAGGTTGCCTTTCGGTAATAATGACTTTCGGTACGAATAGTAGTCCCGTATATGCGATGAATGACAGCAACAGACAGAATACGAGTATTACTTTGTATTTATTATATTTGTAAGCTATGGGTCCTAAACATAACGGTCCAGTCATGCTAATCAGGGCCACAATAGATGTAATCCATGCCGATTGGATTTTCGTGATCCCAATCTCACGCATGTGAGCGCTAAGATATGGGACAATACATGCCAGCGCTGTAGACAATAGAGAAATAATATGTAATTAATGGCTAATAACTTATTGACCATTGAGTCCTTCATTAATATTGAAGGCCCCTATGCTATGCCCATGAAATAGATTTCAATTCAATTGATTGGTCGCATAAGATTAGATTTGGATTATAAACCATTAATTTTGCTTATTTGAATTTAATTCTATATATAAAATTTAGTTTTTCAAAAGTTTTGATTTAACTTTTGTTTGTTTTGATTTTAAATTGTGTTTAATGATACCAAGTTTAAACTTTACTTGAGATAAATAATCTAATATAGAAAAATAATTTTAAAACTAAAACTTATCAAAGGATTAAATGTCTGGGAATATATCTTACAAGATTATATTTGTTATAAATTTAGTGCACTTAATATTCATTTATGTTTTTATTTCCATGAGATAAAGAATAAATAAATAAATAGTAATAAGTTATAATAATCTCAGTAATACCTATTAAGGCTATAGTTTCAAAATAATTGATTCTTTGAACGGTAATATGTAATGTAATACTTATGCAATGATTATATGATTTGAATCCAAAACTACTTTTAACACAAATTCTTGTCAGACATTAAATATTTACTGAAATCAATCATTAAAACAAGATATGAAGCGAACATATCTTCTAATTAAATAACAATTCTTTAACAGACTTTTCAATTATAAGTTATAAAGTTTCATAAATATTTAAATTAATATTCAAAACGCAAAATATAATGCATTGGCTGTGAAAAACAAGTGAAGGATGGCTATACTATTAGTTAATGTATTTTTCACTTCAATTACAAACAATAAGGAAATATTGCGAATCTGTATAACGATTACCTGAATAGAAGAAACAGTTGACGACATTCAGACCATTTCGTTTGCGTTCAATAGCTTTCAAAGACATTATTAACTGAATTTCTATTGAATGCGATTCCGTCTGAAACACACAACTTATATGATACTGTTGTTAGACAATTGACGCCTTCAAAGGTTTTGCACTTTTTTGCCACTTATTGTAAAACGAATGCATTTTTTGATTTGAGAAAAAGAAAGTCACGATTAGTTTACGAGAAGATAATATTGTCTAATTCACGACAAGCAGGTGCAGGTGCTCTCCACTCCAGTCCAATCCTGCCAGTCCTCACCGCACCAACACTTATATCACATCCAAAACTTTATATCCAATGTCTATGGACTGAGACTCACGCAACTGAACACCAATTGCTTCGCAAATAGTGTTTAACTTAAGACTTGAGTCCAAATTTGAAGCAATAATTCAAATTCCTTACAATAAATGTCTTTAATTGAATATATCCGGCACTAAAAACAATGAAATATACATTTATTTAATATTTTATTACATTTCAAGATTATCCTTGTATTCAAATATTTTTACTCTTTTGTATTTTAAGATCTTTGAAAACAAAAAATTATTTATTTATTAGAGTTTAAGGTTTATGATTATCTCATATCTACGGTATATGTATGTATCTCTCATCGCATCTACTCTTATGTTTAAAATTACGAATTTTACGATTATTTGAGAAAAAACTTGTAAGACTTGTCAGTAATATATTCAAAGTTGCATTTCACACAATCGTTGCTTTAATTGAATGCTATGTTTTCAATGATTTAATGTTATTATTATTCAATCAACAGTCTATTCGACATAAAACAATAAATATTATATGATTTCAAATTTATTACTTAATGGCAACTCATTTATGACATTGTATTAGGAGATCATTGCATTTACATAAATAAGTAAATATGAGACAAAATTTGCAAATTAATAAAAACAGTATACTCTGAACACTATACACTGTATACAGTATTTACACTTTGCAATGAATACTTATTTTACAAAAAAAACACAAATAGTCTCAAATTCATTTCTATAGCCTATAGATTTCAATTTTACTTATCATTTGAAATCATTTTCATCTATAATTGCAGTCAATTTTAAACAATTAAAGTCATTGATAAGTATCTCAATGTCTGGAGGCTATACTCGATTGTATTGTGGCTACAAATTCTTGAATCGAAAACTCAATCAAAAAAGTTTTGATTCAAAACGTTTGCAAACACTTATCATTAAAATATTAGCCAAAACTGACACGACGTGAGTGTTTGGTATTTGCAAATTCACATCTCATTTGCAACACTAATATTCAAAAGGATAGTATTTTGTAATAAATTTAAATATTTCATGCTAAATAATCTCTATATTTTAAATTCATTTCTCATACATGAATAGGATTAAAATTTCAATATTTCCAAACAAACAATTAATATATAAATAATTTTTAGCTATAATATGCAAAGTGAAGAAAAAATAAAAACTTTAAGAAATGATATATTTTAGGTAAAAATGGTCTAAAATTAGTTGAGTGCCAAACGAGGGGGTTATAGCCCTTGAGACCACCCCTTAACACAACATATAATTACAGCAATGATTGCAATCTATTTTCCATGAATCCAAGCATTCAATTAAGAAATTATAAAGTATACCCTGATTACACTTTCAATACTGTTATCAAAAAAGTCTTAATTAAAAGTGTTTCAAGTCTTGCAGAAGTGGTGAACAATACAATTGAGAGGTTATCAGAGGTTAGACTTGGCTTATAATTAAAGTAAATATTAATTTGAAGGCAATTTTAAGACAAACTTTAATTGACTAAACAAGTGAAGGAATGGTATGAATATATTTTAGACCCCTTTCCTGTGTTCTCATCAGTTTGTACATCGATTACAGAGTATGCCATCAATTCATTCATTGATTGTATTATTTGTACAACAAATTCAACAAATGTTTGCCTTTATTTGGGTTCAATTATTATAATTTAATCATTTGTTTGATGTTTAAAAATACATAAAACCAAAAAACAAAGACATAATAAACGGGAAGAAAATAATTGTATGAAAGAGAAAAACTTTTGTGTTATATATAAAGCGCTTATTATGGCGGAGACGGAGACACTTTTGGTCTAAACTATAATAATATTCATGTTATATAATAATAATAATAAGTTTTACCTTGAATTGAGTTGAGATGTGAAAATACAATTCACTGTCGACTCAAAGGCTCACTAAAAGCATACATTTTTTGATGTTTTGTGTTGAGTTAGAGTTACACACAATTCGTACCATTTGTTAGGCATTAGTCATTGGATGTGGAAATTCAGTCGACTCGACAAACTCGCACCAGAATATGCTATCATATTATCAATGGGTTTAACAATAACACCAATGATTGACAAAACAATCATTTACTTTGGGATTAGGTTTGTGTGTAGAGCTAAACCATATCTAAACATTGTATAAGTGAGTGACTGCGAGATGGTATGTATAGACGAGTGGTTCGGGATGACATAATAAGACAACTCTACTCCACCACCAGTTGATGGACCACATGCTATAACACAACTCTCTGTGCTCTCACTGTCAGCCAATACTCCAATACTACACAAACTCGTACTCCAAGCACAACACACTTGAAATGTGAACAATCGTCAGAAATACCGCACCCACTTGGCTGCCAGTGCCCGCCAGCCCTACCAGCCCTACCACACCATTCAACTACTATTTCTGTTTTAACTCCACTCTTGTCTCAACCCCGGTTCCAAACTAGCCTTTCCTTCTGTTATGAGTATATGTTTTACAAAACACATGAAAAAGTTTCTTATTATGTAATACAATAGTATATATCATTTGAATTGAATTTCGATATTCCTGTTTTTATCGCATAGCTTACTAAATAATATATACAATATTCTTATTTATGACATCTCTCTCTCTCTCTCTCTCTCTCTTTCTCTCCTACCATAAGACGTGACAATCTTTTTGTGCGAGCATTTAATTTAACGATTTTTCTCTTCTAATCAATGTTTGCATTAAATTTATGTGAGAATCAAAAAGCAAACTCCAACTCAAAACTTAATCTCTAATATTTGTCATGAATTGATGCAAAAAATATAAATAAAATTCTTTTAATACAGTACTAAAACTAATATAACTTTTTTGAATGGCTTTCCTGTTCTGGTTATTCACTGCAATTAAATTTAAAGCCATTCACTGATCGACACAATCATTCACTGTTCGTGAAAATCTAATGAATTTCGACATTTTTCTCATTAACTTTCGTTTCACATATTTTTAACTCTCATTGATATTCATAGCGAAACTTAATTCCAATATAGAGTTAGATATTATGTAATATTAAATCAAATGATATGAATATGTATTTCATTCATTACAACAGTCTGTGTCCTTTAACCGAAAAAATTGTTGAATAAATAATATTGAATAACTCATTTGGTTTTATTTTTCATTGTAATAAATGAATGTTTTGATAAAAGCAACCAAAAATACCGTTTACATGAAATAAAAAGCCAACAAAAATAAACACAAAAGTTGTTTTTATATTCTTTAAATGACTTAACAGTTTAGACCAAAAAATGCTGTACAAACACAGCCATTAAAGACATAAAACTTTAATTAAAGCATGTAATATAAACTATTTTTGTCGAAATTGCCATTAAAGTAGTTGTTGAACCAAAATTAAACGCATTTTCGACACTTATTACAAAAAGACACATTTTTTAAGAGTAAATATAATACAATGTGACCATTTCACAGAAACTTCAATATTTAGAAAGTCATTTCCTTTGTACTATTAAAATCATCTGAACGTGAACATTTTGCCCAATTTAATACAAGTTGACACAAAATAAACATTCAGTTTCAAAGTATAGATTCTATCCGGGTAAATATTATTTTATAAATTTCTTCTGCTTTTAAATTTAAATATAATATATTACTAATTTAATATATTAATCATCTATATTATTTAATCAATTTAACCATAACTTATTCCGCTTGCACAGGTATAAACCGGTACACTTTTAGTCATCCCTAACCAGTAAATCAATTTATTACGACAATACAGTAGTTTCTCATAAAAAAAGACAATTAAATGACACAAACGGAGAATCTTTAGGCAGTAAATAATTTTATGTTTTATCTTTAAAGGATAGGCCGACAAAAAATATTCACATTATTTGAGAACTTTTCACAAAAAAGTTATTCATTAGAGAGTTATGTAAAGATTACGTAAAAATATTTTCAATTTTAAAGTCTAATCTGATTGTGAATGCAATGACCTCTCCTTTCTTTGTTGTCTTTTGATTTACATTTGAAAATTTTTAAAAACATTTTTATTCAATCGCAAAATGATTGCATGAATTCATTGATAGAGTTATTTGAACCGAAAATCGGTGTTTAATACAAATACTGGCGTTAAACACGTGTTATTGGATTTTATAGTTCATAACTCATACGTTGGAAACTCATATGAAGTGGAAATTATGCGGTTTTCTATGGTATGACCTCTAATACCGTGAAAGGAGTCGTGATTTGCAATTATATAAGCCATCGATGGCTCGCCATCAAGAGAGCGCTCATACGTTCACTTCATTTGCATAATAATCAGAAAATTTTGTGAAACTTATAAAAAATTGCTTTTTGCTTCAATTAATTGCATTCGTTTGGATAAAATATAAAAATTTGATTGAAAATCTTTTTGGCATTTGCAATGAAAAATAGCTATAAAACCAATGAATCAGATCGTTGAAAACAGAAAATTATACAATATATTAATTAACACTGGATTGACATCAGGATCAAATTACTTTAATTTAATTAACAAATGATTGCGATAAGAAATTTTAAGTTTAAACTTACGATTTACGACACATACGTTAATGCATTGAAATTGATTAACTGGTTATTAATTCATAATAGCAGTTAAATTATCATGGTATTCAATGCTTAAGATTTAAACTTTAAGTAAATAACTATTTTGCAAATATTTATCTTTGTCTATAAACTTCATTTGACAGTCAATTGTCATAACATTTTGATAAACTGGTTAATAATTTTTGTGGTATAAAGAAATAAAGAAAAATAAATATAATAAATTGAATGAAGTCTTAAAACATCCTTTGTTATGCAATTCAGGAAAATAATGTTCAGTACTTGATAATGGTTTTAAACTTCATAATTAATTATTTATATTTTTTTGGTTATCATATATTTAGGGTTATAGTAGACGTGTTTTCGTGATTACAACTAATTTGGAGATTCTCTTTGTTTTATATTTAGGATTGTTTAGTAAACAGAATAATAATTTTTAACAAATATTTTCAAACCACATATCAAATGACGGATAAATAAATTAAAAATTATTTAAATATTTATGAAATTTTATAATTTGATCGATTGATGCGAAACTTTATATTTACATTATTAAGCGTTTATATTACCTAGTCTATAATTATTGCACTAAACTTAGTCTTACGGGCGATAAAAATCAATAATTGAATATAAAATTGATTTATTTTAAATAACTATACTTTGGTGTCAAATATAACATCCCTAACCTCTACTTACCCTTCAATTCAACCTTTTTTATCTCTATTTAAATCAATGAAAACAATTGTTATAATATATTGTTTTTCTATGAGATATAATATATTTTTAAAGTATATGTCAAACCTGTCACTAATTACATAACTCTTGTGTAAAGTACTGTATTTGATATAATTGTCTAGGGAGTAGTGACATCTGTTTATTAGCCAAGAATTTGTTACATAACAGGTTTGTCGGAACCTGGGATGCCTTTCCCCTCTAATAAAAGTTAAGATCTAATAAAACGCCGGAAGGCTTTCACAGCCATGAAGTTAGAGGAAGTCGTATGAAGTCATGAATCGAGTATTAAATGGTATTTATTTTGGTTTTAATTTTATTATTTCTTTGGATCTAATGTTTAAAAGCTATTATACAACTTTTAGTCCCAAGAAATCAATGATAATCTGACTCATTATAACTTTTGATTTAAGCCAACAAACGATTAGTTCATTGGTTTGGGAACCAGTCGAAGACCAAACAATTGTTGAGTCCAAGCCGTGACAACTGGTCGGCCACTAAAGCCATTATCAACAATGAATTGGAAGCCATTAAAAGTTCTGGAGTCTGGAAATCGGAACGAGTGATCACTTCTAAACAGGACTCACACATCAATGTCGAGGGGAGGACAGAGAAAGTCATAAATTTCTGTGCCAACAATTACCTCGGATTATCTGTTTGTCTGAATTGACAATAGTTTCACTAAATATATCTAATGATAAATATATTAAATCTCTGAATATTTAGAGTAATCCGGAAGTGATCGAAGCCGCTAAGGATGCGCTCGACAAATATGGTTCGGGTCTGAGTTCTGTTCGCTTTATTTGCGGCACTCAAGACATACACAAACAACTTGAGTCCAAAATCGCCAAATTTCACGGCCGAGAGGACGCCATCCTATTTCCCAGTTGTTTCGATGCAAACGCCGGACTCTTTGAGGCTCTGCTCTCCGCCGAAGACGCCATCATATCTGATGAGCTAAACCACGCATCCATTATTGATGGCATACGTCTGAGTAAAGCCCAGAGATTTCGGTATAAACACAGAGATATGAATGATTTGGAGGACATTCTCAAGAATAACCAAAAGGCAAGGAATCGGTTAATAGCGACGGATGGGGTGTTTAGTATGGATGGGAACGTCGCCCCTCTCGACAAAATCTATCATTTGGCTCAAAAGTACAACGCGATTGTGTTTGTAGACGAGTGTCATAGCACTGGCTTTTTTGGCCGCACCGGCAGAGGAACCGAAGAGTTCTTCAATCTGACGGGTAAAGTGGATATAATTAACTCTACTTTGGGTAAAGCCTTGGGAGGTGCGGCCGGAGGGTATACCACAGGTACGGACAAATGTTTTGATTTATAATTTGGTCACAAATTGTCTTATTGTTAATCAGGACGTAAAGAACTCATAGATCTGTTGCGCCAAAGAGCGCGACCCTATCTCTTCTCAAACTCATTACCGCCAGCAGTGGTCGCCTCAGCCTCTAAAGTGTTTGACTTATTGACACAAAACTCTTCGTTAACCGAAAGAGTCGAACGAAACACCATTGCCTTCAGAACCGAAATGAAAAGTTTTGGTTTCAATATTCTCGTAATAATTGCATTCAATTTATTTTTAATTTATCCATTGCTTATGAGTTTATGGATTGTCCACTAATAGGGCGACAATCATCCCATTTGTCCCGTTTTTATCGGCGACGCACGACTGGCCTCCACTTTTGCCGACTTAATGCTCGGTATTTATAGTTCATTATAATTATCATAATTTATTATCAAAATAGTATTTAATGCAAATCTATTTGTATAGAGAATGGCATTTATGTGATTGGATTCAGTTATCCAGTCGTTCCCAAAGGAAAGGCTAGAATTCGGGTTCAAATATCGGCCGCACATACCGATCAAGATATCAAAAGTACAATCGAGGCATTCGTCAAAGTGGGACGACATCTCAAAGTTATTCAGTAATTTATGAGTTGGCAGAGGGAGGGAGAGAGAGAGAGAGAGAGAGCGAGAGAGAGATGAGAATTTATTGATTACAGAATAATTATAACAGAATTTTTATAAGTATACCGTACAATGTACAGGTAGTTCATGTTAAACATTGTTATAGAAACCAGAGTTTGAAATAAATTTACAGTATTCAGTTTTATAATATTATATAAATTTACAAGTGTTGTGAATACAGTACGTTATGTACTGTACTTGTTACTAAAAATAGTGGAATAAATTGATATTTAATACCAATTCTACTGTATAGAATCTATATTACTAGGTATACTGTAGATAGACTTGATAATAGGAATCCCATACCTGTACAGTAATTATGGTAATGAAAGTGTTGTCGCTAATAGTAATCAATACTCAAATAATTAGAGTCCAATTGACTGCTACTGTACAGTATTGCCAAGAATTCAATCAATACATGAATGCATCAAATATACAGAATCTCTCAAATGACTCAAACTATTGCATAATTTGTTTGAAATTTCAATTTTATTAATAAAACAGCAATTATAAGCCAATTACAGACAATTCAATTAAATAAACCTAAATTTGATAATAAAATAGAAAACGAAATATAAATAATAGAAAAACTCAAATCAAATGTAAACCACAATGCAATCGTGAATATGACTTAAATGATTGTCAATTAATAAAACCTATAATTCATTGAAAACCTAATAATCGTCGGGTTATTGGGTTTTCTTGGCGCCGGCTGTAGTGTTGTCCTCCTTTACACGGATCCACCACTTCTTCAACTGACCGAACTTGCGGTCAACCCATTCCTCGTGTTGTTTATCTGTCCATCGGTTCCATCCATTGTCCGATCGCTTCACGGCTTTGTTGGCCGACAAGTCACCCAACCATCGCTTCCCACCAGACGTATGGGCGCCGATCGGCACACGTGTCGACCCTCTCATCACTACATTCAACACACACTGACTTCTGATGGACATTGTGGTCACCAATTGATATGATACTAAGATATGACACGATTTGAGTGACTGTGGGATCAGTTTGTGGGACACAGACAGAGCGACAGTCCTGTGAGGTATGACTCGTGTTTCAGACGTGGGCTTCACTTAAATGTCAAACCATTCAAACTCTCACACCGTATGACGTCTATTACACAGCAACTAATGCGTCGCTTACAACACACGCGACACTATAAGCACTACGTTTACAACCCCTCCCATAGCTATCATTGCAAACCAGTGATAACATAACCCCCATCACCGCCGGTGTTGTCATAGTTTGTATGAACACTACTGGAAACCACATGTGCTATGGCAGTGGCAGAGCGCGTGCGTGAATGTGACTCAATATTGTCTATGCGTTGCGTTGAATGCAATAATTGATTGGTTTTTGAAATCATATTGAATTGGATTTGATATAAATTATGGAGAAATCATTTGATGAACAAAACCTATTGGAGAGGAAAGTGACACAATTGGAGACCAGATTCGCACAATTGGATCAATTAGACCACGACAGCCAACACAACACACAGTTTGACGCAATCCGTATGTCTGCCAACATATTTCACTCATAATTTGATTTAATTGATGCCATTTTCAGCCGAATTAAGTGATCTTCGGGTGGAGAACACGAAACTTAAGTATAGGATATCTGTCCTCAAGAACTCCATTCAAGAAGAGCAGAGACGACAAATGGACTCAATTGGCAGCTCTTCCAGTGGTCTGTCTTTGCCATTGATAGCCATTATGATGACAATTGCTAACAATATGTTTGATTTGACGGCAATTAGGGCCCAAACCCACGAAAGGCTCACCAAATGCCGCGAACGACGACAAGACGGGAATGACTAGTATTTTGCATTCAGTGAAGCAATTGTTTGGGACGGCTATCCGCGAGGCCTACCCGATGCTGACGAACGCACCGCTGCTGGTGACCAAATCAGATCACGCGGACTACCAGTGCAACAGTGCCTTACCGTTGAGTAAATACTTGAGTGCAGAGAAACGACTGCCGCCTCGCGATGTGGCCAACACTCTGATCGCTCACTTGCCGCCCAACCCTCTGATCGGCGATGTGGTGGTCGCCCCCCAGGGCTTCATTAACATCACTCTCAACAAGGAATTTGTCTCGAATTCCATCCTAAATGTGGTGACAACTGGTGTTCACGTGAAGCCATTGAGTGATAAACAGGCCAACAATCGTGTGGTGATTGACTACTCGGCCCCTAATATAGCCAAAGAGATGCACGTCGGACACCTCCGCTCCACTATCATCGGTGACGCCATCGCCCGACTCATGGAGTTCGTGGGAATGGATGTGTTGCGAGTGAACCACGTGGGCGATTGGGGCACTCAGTTCGGGATGCTTTTGGCGCATCTCATTGAGAAATACCCGGATTATAAGACGAATACCCCTCCCATTGCAGACCTGCAGGCCTTCTATAAGGAGTCGAAGAAGCGTTTCGACGACGAGCCCGACTTCAAGGCGCGCGCCTATAATACGACGGTTAGACTGCAGGCAAAAGAGGCCGAAATGATCACTGCGTGGAAACAAATCTGCGAAATATCCCGAAAGGAGTTCCGAGAAGTGTATAACTTGTTGGGCGTTAGTCAGCATCTCATAGAAAGGGGTGAATCCTTTTACCACGAATTGATGGTCGAAGTCGTCAAAGACTTGGAACAGAAGAAGCTATTGATCGAAGACGAAGGACGGAAAGTGATGTTCTCGACCGACCCCTCGGCGCCTCCCCTCACAATCGTTAAGTCCGACGGCGGCTACACTTACGACACGTCGGATATGGCGACACTTCGACAGCGTATTCATGACGAAAAGGCCGGACGTATCATATATGTCGTGGATGGGGGTCAGAGTCAACACTTCCAACTGATCTTTAATTGTGGAACTCTTGCCGGTTATTACGATCCCAATACAGTTCGTGTCGAGCACTTGGGCTTTGGTGTCGTTCTCGGTTTGTAGTGATTATCCATTTATTAGTGTCTCTCGTATTGAAATACCATTTGATATAACAGGTGAAGACAAAAAGAAATTCAAGACCCGTTCGGGTGATACCATACGGTTGAGGGAATTGATTCGTGAGGGGTTCGAGCGATCTTTGGCCAAACTCATAGAGAAAGGAAGGGATAAGGAGTTGACTCCCGAAGAGTTAAAAGCAGCTCAAGAGGCGGTTGCCATCGGATGTATTAAATACGCGGATCTGAGTCACGACCGAAATCACGAATACGTGTTTAGTTTCGACCGTATGTTAGACGACAGGGGAAATACAGCCGTATATCTGTTGTACGCACTGACGAGGATCCGGTCCATCATCCGTAATGCCAACCTCTCACAAGACATCACAGAAATGGCTAAAAAGGAGTCTAAACTGGATTTGAGTCACGCGAGGGAATACAAGTTAGCCAAACAGATACTACGGTTCGCGGAAGTGATTCTTCAGATCGCGGACGACCTCTATTTACATACGCTTTGCTCGTATTTATTTGAATTATCGGTCGTTTTCAGCGAATTCTACGATCAGTGCTATTGTATTGAGAAAGTGATGGAGAAAGGGGTCCAGAAAGTGAAGGTTAACATCAATCGGATTATTCTGTGCGAAGCGACCGCCCGTGTCATCGAAACCGGACTTTCATTACTCGGAATTAAATCGGTTAACAAAATGTGAAATTATTTTGTTATTACTTTCTTAAGTTTTATTTAATGATAAACTAATTATACAATTAATTCATCGATTGAATGATATTTTGAGACGAAAAACAAAGTTTACATGTTTTATAGTAATCGCAAAATAAATTAACTTTAATTTATATAAAAATAAACTCATTTTCAAGACTGAGATTTGGTTTAAATTAAATTTAATTAATGAGTATTGATGTCAGTCCCAAATACTGGTGGACTCAGTGGTAGTGGTCGTTGGTTTGGAAGCGTTGGCCGCCTTTCGTCGCATATTTTTCTTTTGGTTTTTCGTCAGTTTTTGTGTTTTGTTTGCGACCTCTATCTGAGTATTGGTGGCAACGGATGACCCGAAGTCATCATAAATGGAATAACGCGGATAGTTGTCGTCATCCCAGTTGTCCACATTGTCCTCATTGTCTTCAGCACTCGTGGCAATCACTGGACTACTGGTGCACTCAATGGCAGAACTGGTCGACTGTTGTGATCCGCTGTCTTGAGAGCCATACGTATAGGTCGGTTGAGCCAACACATGAGTGGCGGTGGTGTCCGTCTCTCTGGCGTATTGTCTGGCGTCGGGACACGTCTTGAGATGTTTGGCGAACTCATGTCTTGGCATCCGATGGGAAGCGTTGTAAACACAGGTCGAGAACTTTGAGCCCAACTTCTTCTCGCACTCAATGATATGTTTGATCCAATTTCTTGTGGCAATCTTGTGGTTGCTGTCGAAGGGACACTCCGTCAGAAGGTCTTTGTGGAGAGTGAACGTTGCCATCGATTGTCCTCAAACGTGGATCAACTCCAATGAGGACAACAAATAGCACTCAAGAGTTGCATCATTTGCAAAGTCACTGCAAATCTGTGTCCAAACAAAACGCCTTCAAAGAGATGATTGAATTTCATTGAAATCCCATTGAATTGAATGTGAAATGAGTTTTGAAAGCAATGGTAATAAAAGCCGTAATTTCTATGCAATTGTTGTGCAAAACACATGAGAAGTGTTGAAATTATGGCCGCATTTGTCGGTCGCTTGCGTTCAATGACTTCTGCGGTCAACAGATCCTCGCATCTGAACCGCAGACAACTCATCAATCAATTCAATCGCCTCAAGAGTAGCACCAACTCCACCACACTCTCATCCGATGCCAATCAGATCAGTCAGACATCACTATCACAGCCATTACCAGGTCTTTGAATGTTAACCGGTTTCTCAGGACACACTGTTAACCCGATTATGATTTGTGTTTAGGTTTTGCTAAACCATTGTTCGCCACAATCACTACCGAAGACAATGAGACAAAGGTGACGACAATGAGTAATGGACTTCGTGTGGCCTCACAGAACAAATTCGGTCAGTTCTGCACCGTTGGGGTTGTCATCGACTCGGGCTCGCGGTATGAAGTGTCCCATCCGTCAGGCATTTCTCACTTCTTGGAGAAGTTGGCCTTCAATTCGACGGTAGATAACGTGAATAGGGATCAGATTATGCGAGCGCTCGAGAAATATGGCGGTATCTGTGACTGTCAGGGCTCGAGGGATACCATGATATACGCCGCTTCTCTCGACTCGAGAGGTCTGTCACCTGTGGTCCACATGTTGTCGGACGTCGTATTGAGACCTCATATAACACCCGAAGAGTTGGCGTTTGCTAAACAGATAATTGAGTTCGAGTTGGAGGACATATCTATGAGACCGGATCCCGAGCCCATACTCTTCGAGCTCATCCATGCGGCCGCTTATCGTAGCAATACGTTAGGGCTTCCGAAGCACTGTCCGCGAGAGTCGCTGTCACTCATCAATCGGAACGTCATATTTGATTACTTGCGGACGTATCACATCCCGAAGCGAATGGTGTTGGCGGGTGTAGGTGTAGATCACCAACAGTTGGTCCAATTAGCTGAACAGTATTTTGTAGAAACCAAACCCATTTGGACTCTCGACTCAACCATTGTGTCCAACAGTGCGAACGCACCAGAAGTGGACGAATCGATATCGCAATACACGGGAGGAGTAGTGACGGTTGAGAAGGACTTATCTAATGTGAGTTTAGGACCGACGCCTATACCAGAATTGGTTCACTTCGTGTTAGGTTTGGAGAGTTTTAGCCATCAGGACCCCGAAGACTTCATCCCCGTGTGTGTCCTCAATATGCTGATGGGCGGCGGCGGCTCTTTCTCGGCCGGTGGGCCCGGAAAGGGAATGTATACCCGTTTGTACACTAATGTCTTGAATCGTTACCATTGGATGTATAGCGCGACTGCTTATAATCACGCGTACAGTGATTCGGGTCTGTTTTGCATCCACGCCTCAGCCCACCCCTCAAAGCTCCGGGATATGATTAACGTAATAATTGGCGAAACAATTCATATGAGTCGCTGTACCGATGATGTGGAGCTAAAGCGGGCCAAAACGCAACTCAAATCAATGTTATTAATGAATTTAGAGGCCAGACCTGTCATGTTTGAGGACATTGGGCGCCAAGTGTTGGCCACCGGTCATCGCAAATCTGCTCATCATTTCATCGATCAAATTGATAGAGTGACTGAAGAGGACATCAAGAGAGTGGCCTCCAAAGTGTTGCGAAGTCGTGCCTCAGTGGCCGCGTTGGGAGATCTGAAACAATTGCCGCCACTCGAGGACATCGAGACCGCACTCAATAGCAAAGATGGACGCATCCCTCAGAGGTTTACCCTTTTTAGGTAATGACATACTTGTAGTTTATCTGACGTTTGTATTCACATTCAATTCAAACAATAAAATCTT